TATACTTGAATAAAAATCCTAGCTCCCAAGAGGTAGACGTTAAAAAAAAAATAAAAATAAAATAAAATAAAATAATTATTAATAAAGAAAAAAAAGAATCAAATTATTAATTTTCATACTTATAATATTCTCTTTCTTGATTCGTCCAATTAATATAACTACTCTATTCTTGAATCTTATAATCTTGCTTATTCTTTGTTCAATATTGAGTATTAAATCGCATATTCTTACAAAACATATATAGATCACTTCTAGAAGATAAAAAATGAATTTTTGGTATATATTTTTTCCAAATCCACATAAAAGACTATTGGCTAATATAGTGATCAGAGTTTTCATCTAAATTTGATTAATAAATATAATGTAATCCAGAATAATTTTTGCTAGCAAAAAGAAATATAATAGCCATAGTGTTTTTTTGAAAATGCTGACCTAATAAAATTATTATTATTAATAAATAAATGCATTAAATTTATTCTTTAAACTTCAATTTCATTTTTATAATAGTTTTCAATTATATATCTCTCTTCAAAAAGTCCTATTTTAGCAAATAATTAATAATAAATAAGTGAATATCTTATATTTATTGTCACAGCTGAAGCTTGAAATTAGGAACCTTAATTTAAAAATATAAACTCTACCAAAATCTACTTATATATTTTAATTATCAAAACTAATCCTAAATCATAAGCTAATTAGAAAAAAAAGCTAAAAATTGCATTCTAAAATTTTTTAAAAATTTCATATTAAAGTATTTAAAATTTTAAGCTTCAGCCACGATATTTATTTTTTTAACTTTGTTAACTTTGTTAATATATAATAAAAATATCCTGAGCTATTAGATATTGGCAGAAATGAAGTTTCTGCTTATACACATATAGATATAAGTATTTTTTGTGATTTTGATATAGTAATTAAGGTATTTTATCACTGTTTTCAAATTGATCAATTCATAATAAAAAAAGTTATCTTTGTGAATCCTGTGAGTTCTATGATTTCAATATAGATAATTGTCTAAATTCATTATATTTTGCAGAATTTATTTTATGAGTACTTTTTTAACATTTTTATTAGTTAATATTTGTATTTTAAGCTTTTTTTATTAGTATAAATTTGTGAGTCCCGAAGCCAGATATTATAGCATTTTTTAAATTACTGCAATCAGCAAATTTCATATATTACACCAAAAATCATGAATCTAGAAAAATGCCAATTTATGATTGGCTAAAAATCATTCTAATAATTTTTTAACCAATCATAGGTTAGCATTTTTTTCTAGATTCCTGATTTCTAGTGTAATACGTAGAATTTACTAATCATAGTAATTTGAAAAGCACTGTAAAGCAAATATATAAATAACTATTAGAACTAGTACAAACAAGAATGATATTAAAAATATATTTATTAACAAATTTAGGTACTTATCTATATTATAATTATAGAATTCAAGAGATTCACAAAAAAAAATTTTATCACGAATTGGTCAAATCGAAAAGTGATAATTAAAATTATAATAAAAAATAATAATTTTACCTGGTGATGTCAATCTATAATAATTTGCATAATTTACAATAAATATAAAAATATTTAAAATAGTTGCGAACAATAAAGCATTATGAGATTTTCTTCTTGAAAGTGCATGCTTCATAGGTTTAATACCATTTATATAATACTGCTGATGAATACTTTTTCATTTTTTATTTGATAGTGAATGTATAATTTGAAATGCTTTCTCGCAAATTTCATTTACATTAAAAGTGTATTTTACAATTAAGTTTTGTTTTTTTTTACCTTGTAATGTTTTATTTAAACGAGTCATTGCATAAAGTATCTCTAATAAAAACATACTGTACTCATCTTTTGTTAATTTTCAAATGTTATCAAAAGTTTTAAATACAGATTCATAGTTAATTTTGGTTAAATATAATTTGGTTTTACAACAAACTGTTATACAAAGTTTATTATTAAATGCTTTTTTTTCTTGCTAATCTAAAATAACCATTAATTTTTTATTAATTTCTCTTTTATCATTCTTCTCCTCAATAGTATTTTGAGAAAATATTAGTTTAAATTTTTTTATTTGTAATGGAGTAAGAACTTGATTATCAGGATATTGTAATTTTTCTTCATTTTCTATATGATATGTGCTTTCAGAAAAAAGTTCATTTGTTTCTAGTATTTTTTTCATTTTGATTTCATAATCTTTTTTGGGTTGGTAAAGAGCTTTAAGTTGGTCAAAATCTTTTGTTAACAAACTAATTTCAAAATGTGTTTCTAAAAAAATTAGTGAAACTAATATATATATTAAATTTATTTTTTTTACAAAACTTTAAGTATTATCATTATCATTATATTTCAAATTATAAAAAGATCTTTTAATCCTACATATTGTAATAAATTAAAATTTTAGTTTCTTTATTTTTGTTTTAAACTTATATTTTAGTTAGTAACTTTTCTACATATATATAGTTTATTAGTAATTCCCCACCAATTTTGGTAACAATATCCAATTTTAGTATATTTATTAATTTCTTTTGATTAT